TCCTACATGAGCACACAATTTAGTGTTTGGGCTCTAGATAACATTTTTCAGTGTGCCTAGCTGAATTGTGTATTGCAGTCAAAAATTTATGTAAAATGTATTTCTTAATTACATTTCAATATTTCTACTTGATATTGTCTGAATACTTGATCACCTAGATCCTGGTTACTTTAAAAAAAATAATTATTTCTTAGTTATAATAAGTAGTCTATTTTACTTGTCATATTTGTAAGCTTCAGTAAAAAAAAAAAATTCAGTCCCTAAAAAGAAGCCTTGATTTTTATAAATCCAGAATTTGCAGTCCTATTCTATTTTATCCAGGTGTAACAGAAATATCAGTGCATGCTGCCTAGCAAGTATGTCACTATGTCCAGTCTCAATTAGCGGACTCACAGTTCTTGAGGTGACTGTGAGTCATTTAAGGACCTGTTTTTGTTAAGATACATCTGAGTAGTTGGTAGTTTTGTAGATGTGGGTGGCTGTGCATGGGGTGTGCCTAATGAACACTTTGATTTGTGAAGTAGTAAAGCCAAGGTAATTTCAGTTTTTGTGCTGTTTCTTGAATTGGTTGTAGGAGAATATATAGTTACTAACTTCAGCAGAAGACTTCCATAGAGTGTATCTGTACATCACTAAGATTTTTCAGTAGTGCATATGGTGCTTCTTTTTATGTGCTTATGTTTAGTTCTGTTTGTTGAACCCTGACACTCGATGCAACAGTATCATATGGTTACCAACATACTATTTAACAGGAGTAAAGAAGCGGGGAAAAATAAGAGTTTTTATAATGACAACTTTTGTGAATCTATGAAGTCTTGTAAATGAAGAAAAAAATGGGCAGTCCCATACTTGTGGTTATGAACTTGCACTCCAGGGTGCAGACAGAACTGAACACATCAGCTTCTGGTTTAAGCAAACCAGGAGCAGCTCCACTCCAGAAATGCTGTGTTTACCCCCAGAGCCCTGTCAGCATGCTTCACTCCTAAGGCAATTCAGGAGTGTGAGGGTGTTGGAGACACGGCTGTAAACAGTGTGAGGTTTCAGAGGTCATGTGGGTTTCAGGGCATCAGTCCCAAATGGGGTGTTGAAAGGCAACCCATGGAAATATCCAGTTTCCATGCTGTGCCCATACACTGCTTCCTCTCTGCTTATTGCATGCATATTTCTGAATTTCTTGGTGCAATGTCTGGCTGTCTCTACATGAGTTTTTAGTATGTGAGTGTGGTCAGAATCTTTTTGTAGCCTCTTGACAGTTATTATTGCTAGAGTTTTATTAGATTTTCTAGCACTTGAGTCATAGCATATTCGATGTGTTGCAAGATATCTGGAGTAACTTAGTCATAAGTTATTTGGAGAAGCATGTTCAGAGAGGCCTTTAGGTTAATTTTCATATCAGCTAGGTTGTAATTTTAATGAGGAAAAAGGGTTATGCCTGTATGTTAGGCTGAGGAAAGCTGTGGCTTGATATAAAACTTCTGTCTGTGTTGCCTGGTTTGCTTTGGGCTGCCCCTGTGTGAGGAGTAGCCTAAAGATTTGATGTGGCTTCTATGTAGGGGGACCATTTTTTCCATGGTCTGCATACATGTGTATGTCATTGTGCTCCCAGACCCAAACACAAAGGATTTTTCTTGCATAAGATAGAAAGACAGAACTTCTTCCTTGAAAATTTATTGCCCTTTTCAGACCCTGAAATGGATTTTAACCAGTCAAATATAATTCTGGGGAGTTTGATTCCCAACCCCACCCTGTTTTTCTTAATTAGTAGTGGTCAAGGTGCTGTAGGAACCTTTTTGCTGATGTTAGGAATACCTGCCCCTGGCTTTTGGCTGTGATTTGAGCAAGTGCTGACTCTCATACCTGAAATCAAGGGCACTCTGCTTTGATCATAAAATACTCCCCATTTTATAGCTCTTTAGGAAATAACACCTGAGGGCTTGCACATGTTTCCTTGGCAGGTAGTTTCTGTAGTTTCTGCCAGGTTTTACTGCACCTGCAGCAAATCAGTTTGAGTGTAGCTGAGTTTAAGCCTCTCAGTAGAGGAGACAGCAAAATGCTTGATGATCATTTCAGATTGGGACCCTCCCAATTCTCTTATGTTGAGTTGCCACACTGGCTAAAAGTAAAATAAGGACAACACTATTTTTGAAACACACTCAAGATTGTGGACCATAAAGTGCTCTGGTGAGAGCTGCCAGAGAGAACTGTCTTGTCTCTTGTGAGTGTCCTCTGGCTTCAGGCTGCACTTCGAGGAGTTTGTGGCAAATAATGCACCAGGCTTAGCAAAGGACCATCAGACAAGATGCTCATGTGGTGACCTGCATCTGTTTTGTGTACTGAACAAGGCAATAGCCTACAGAAAAAGTGTCGTTGCACAATCACATACTGTCATTATGATTACACATAAGGGAATCCCAATTATGATCATGTAGACAACATTTTGCAACAGAGGACTTTGGTTTTCAGAAAATCGAACTACTTTTCTTCTCCTGGATTGTGCTGGTAGCCAGGCTTGCCTTTTTGTGAAGGAGTTTTCAACTGAAGCACCCAGTTCCTGCTGTGTCCTCTGTTCCTTTAGGAAGAGGCAAGTTCACTGTATTATGGGGGAATTCTTTCTTTCTTCCTGTCGTGCAATCCCTGCAGATTCATCTCATACTTGATTAACAGCATGGCTTCTGACAAAGGAAATATTGGTAAATCCAGGATTCGTAGGAAGTCTACAAATATTTCATGTGTTCTTGTTCATAATTTAGATTGGAATATTTCATGTGTTCTTGTTCATAATTTAGATTGTTATTGTTAATATAGGTGAAGGAGTTGACAGTCACAGATATAATTCCCATTGGTCAGCTGGGGTTATTGCCCTCATGGGGACTGACAACACACACTTTTGCAGAATCATTGTTTTTGGATCATCTGTTGCTTGTTCAGAGGCCATGACTAATTAACTTATAAAAAAGTCATTGAGCTAATATCTTGCAAAGAAACCTGTGATGTCAGATTTGATCCCCTAATTGCTCTTATAATTGGCATTTATTGGAGCTCTTTCACAAGTCAGGGCAACAGACCTCATTTGTTTTATGTAGAATGTTGTAAAAACAATTGAACTGGCAGCTGATTACAGTTTTCTATTCAGTAAGCAATTCTGGAAGACTGTGGGCTAGATAGTTGTCTGATTTGCCTAGGTTGTATAAGTTCAATGTAAAGAGAGATGAATTTTCAGCATATGGCTCTGTGTTAGCAATTACATGCATTAGTGGTTTAGCTGGTGTGTTGTGTCTGCTTTATAAATGTTTATATTGCAGCCTTCTGCTAATAGATATTGATGACAGGCAGTGTTTGGAGGCCCAGTGTATGGCAGTGGTCATTAGTTATGGCCCAGTAATGATCCATCTACTTGTGTTTGCTAGCATATCCAGATCTAACTCATGCTTGTGGAAACATCAGCTGTTCTGTTGCTCCCTAATAATTTAACACAAGGTCATTGTCAGCTGGAATGTAAATGTTTAACATTTCATGTTGGGCATATTCAAGTTTTAGAACTCTTTAAGTGAGCCTGGAAATAAAATTATGCTGATGCTTACATAAAGCTTGTTCTTATTGATTGTAAAATTATTTGGAATGTTTTTTGGTTGCCTAACTATGTGTGTAAAGGAAATATGCAGTCTCTTTTTCTGCTCTGAAACTATAGAGAGCTCTGTGGTGAAAGGAAACTTTGAAATGTCACACTCCTGTCAAGAAAAAATAATTCGTTGACCCTTATCTGTAAAAATTGTTAGGAAAATTGCACACTTCTGACCAGTCTCTGGATCTCATCTCTCAAAAGTGTGAAGAATGTGATAAATTTGAATTCAGCTGTGATGGGTATTTTGATACCAAAATATTTAACTTTTGCCATATGGCTTCTCTCAAATTCTGTACTTCTTTCTCAGTTGCACATCAGCTCTGAACAGCATGCGGTTTGTGAAATGTTCTCTTCAAGCTGCAGACACAAAAATGAGCTTTTTTTCAAGTATTTGTCAGTTTCAGTTAGAGTCAGTCGTCTGGAATTGTTGACATTAAATTTTTGTAATTGTAACAATGAATGTCTAATATCAATGAAAAGAATAAATTAAGTATTTCTGGTGGCATTCATCCTGAAACCAAAGCATGATTAGCAAGTAATTAACTGTCACTGTTATGCCTTTGCATGGCTTTACTGGCTGCATCCCAGACATACTGACTTTTCCTAGTAGTGGAAAAGATCAAGGGCTTCTCTTGGATGTTGAGTTCAGGTGGTGGAGAACAAATTCCTCTGACAAGTGTGAAAAATGACCTCTGGACCTTATCCCAGGCAGATAAACCCATAGAGCAAGGATTGCTGAGCTTTTCTGTGCCCACAGTGCTGTGGTGAACATGTCACTTTTTGCACTGGGAAGCTTTTAGTTTCTTTGGCGATGTTGATACATTTTTTTTTTTTAACCTGGACCTCTTCAGGTCACTGAAAATTGCCTTTTCTGATTTATTTCTCCACATTTGATAACTTCAGAGGAAACATATCTGCTTATGAAAACTTCAATTTTAATGTGTAACAGTTGGCAAAAAGTGTATTTGATGGGAGTATTCATCACTTTGTGCTGTTTTTATACACAAAGCCTCTGTACTAGACGTGGTAAAATTGCCCAAAGAAGGCACTTAAGTGATTTGTCATAAGATCTCATAGGAGCCTTGGAAATTCTGGGGATCCTTGTAGTGGCTGTGTCCCAGAGAACACGTCCCCAGAATTCTTACAAGTGTTCAACCCTTGGGAGTTAGTCTTTGGCACTAGCAAATTTTTCTTCTGTGTGTTTAAAAAGGTTCAACTGTACCTCAAATGATCTCTTGGTTCATATTTGATAAATTATTAGGCCAGATAATGTCCAAAGTTTTAGCAATATATGCAAGTATGGAATGAAATTTAAAAATCGTTTTAAGAGTTACTAAGAGCTTAATCTAATGATTGTGTTTTCTGAACTTTCTGACAGATACCTTTGAGGTGAGATGCAAGACACGTGGAGAGGAAGGAGCCACTAGATCAGGTTCAGTAATAACTTTTTCTGGTTTACTGTATATCTACATTTGATCACATAAATGTCCTTACTAACACAAACAGCTAATCCCTTATATTGGTGATCTGATGTGAATAGAGTTAATTTCTCTTTGTTGTTGGAACAGAAATATTACAGGAGGTTTTAGTGTGCTGTTTACACAAGGGAAAATCTGTAAACACCTGTGGTCCTTTTGTCATCTAAATGCTTCTGTTATCACTGCAGGGCACCTGAAACCACAATAATTGTGGGATGGTGAAAGCTAATCCTTATCCTGGATGAGTGCAGTTGAAATCTTTCTATCCAGCACATATCTGTCAACTTTTATTACTAATTCACGGTTCCTTGATGTGCCTTTTCTTGACCATTATTTATCTCACTTTCACAGGCTGATTGTTTTATCTGTTGCTTTGCTTTTTTCATTGCTAGACCGGGTTAGATCACAGAGCATGCAGCTGTAGTTGTCAGTGCTTTGGGTGATGTGTCTTCAGGGTGAGGTTGTCATCACTGCTTTGAGAGAACACAAATCTGCTTTTTTACTGGGTCAGTTTCTTGGGGAAGTGTAGTCATTTAAAAAGTAAACTTGTGACCTTCTGTTGGTTTTGTTCTGTTGATTTCATGTCCATTCAAGTTGTTGCATTCTGACACAAGGAACCAGTGTCACTGGCCAGGTCAGATGGATTTTGAAATTGGTAGGACTGTGGTTAGGATTTGTAGGATTTTAGTTACTGGTATAAATTGCAGGCTCTGTTCTGGGGAGCTGGGAAAGGGGAATGCTTTCAACTTGATAAACAAGTCTATGTGCTGAAGATATACAAATAGCTAGGGTAGGGATTTGTTCCTGATGGAGTCATAGCAAGACTTACCATAAAACTGTGATATTTTTATTACCTGACTTTGTTACAAACATTTTAAATTATTTTCTCTCAAGAGGAAGCAGGATTTAAATCTGAATGGTTTATGTTAGAAGAATATAATTGCATTTTTGATCCAAGGCATGTGATTAAATAAAGGAGTGTGGGGTGAGAGGACAATGTACTCAAATACTCTGTCATGGGCTGTTCTCAGAGTGGGGAGTTTACACTCTGTAACAAGTGATGATGTTCTGGCACCTGCAAAGCATCATAGCTGAAGTTTCTTGATTAAAATATTTCTGAGAAATAAATCAGAAATAGCTAGATGGTCTGATAGTCTAACTATGAGCTTTGGCCTCTTAGCTGTATGAAAATGTTATGGAAAGAGAATGCTGGAGTTTTTCAAATTGTTTTGGATTCATTTGGAGCTTTAGGGTTTTTTTCTTCTTTTTTTCCTTTTTTGGGGCTCGTTTTTAACATAGATAAATTTTGTCTATAAAGAGATGGTGTTTCAGGGCAGAATTTTGTGTGTCTCCAGCCCTCACTCTGGTGTTTCCAGGCATCAGATTATTTTGGTCTATAGCATAAATGGCGGGGACATGATAAACAACCCAGAAATATGTTCTGCAGAATCAGCAGTATGTTGAAAGTCTTCTGAACTTCAGCTCAGGCTCCTAAAGATACATTTCAGCTGTGATTGTTGGAGACAGGGAAATATAAATGGGCTCTTTCTGCTGGTGCTTGTCACATGGGACAGTCACTCTTTGTGTAAGAGTCTGTGTGAGCTTCACTTACTAGCCTTTTTTTCTGGCTTTTGCCTTTCTGTCTAAGAATAAAGCCTCAAATTTTAGTACTTGCACTGTGAAAATTGTTAGATACATTTAGTTACAGTGAGCACTCTTCCAGGGTCTTATTTAGTGGGACAGAATAAATAGAAAGCTGTTGTTTATATCTATATTCCCTGATTACTCTTACTAGCATGCCAAATATCTAATGAAAAACTGCCTTGTGAATTGTTGGTTTATTTATTTATTTCTTGAACAAAACCTGGTGTGCTGATGTGATCTTATGGTTCCATAGGGGTAGGCATATATATTGTAAGTGGCATTAATCAGAGCTCCAGCTCTGTCTTGGTATCTTTAACCCCACCTGTGGGATTAATGCAAGACTTTGTCTTCCCCACTTCCCATCTGTCTTTTCTATTAATTTACACAGTAATACTGCATGCTTATTAGGTTGAAATTTGAAAGGAAAAAGTCTGTTACTTAGGTTTATAAAAAGGCAAGCACTGTGATTTTTATTTTTTCTTTTTATGAAGTGGTGCTTGCGTTTATCTAAGGTGAGAGAAAAAACAGTGGAGCCTATGTGGAATGAAAAAGGAAGTGTTGAGTCCCTTCTGCACATCCAGATGTTCTCACCCTAAGAGAAGCCTTCAGTGTAATAGATGTAATTTTGCATGAGTTATATTCATCCTTTGGGATGTCTGGGTGTACTAAAGCATCTTTAAGGATAAGTTGACATACCTCTGACTAGCTTAAAGAATACCAGGTAGATGTAATTTTGCATGAGTTATATTCATCCTTTGGGATGTCTGGGTGTCTTTAAGGATAAGTTGGCAAACCTCTGACTAGCTTAAAGAATGCCAGCTCCTGATAGTTTTTGAGTTGTACTAGAGTTCGGAGTAGGCAGTATTCCTTGGCAGCAGGAGGATGGGTGTTGATAAACCTGTGTTTAGAACGTGAATGTTCCTTTCAGTGTCATGTATGGATGCCATTCCTTTAGATTTAGAGGCAATTTAGTTTAGTTTTCACAAAGGAAAACCACAAATTACTAACAGGGTACTGAAGTTATTAGCTAATAGCTTCAATTAACATAACAAACAAAATGCAGAATAAATGCAGGAAGAGCAAGACTGACTTAGCCTTGAATTTTCTGCTGTGTCTGTATTACTGTGCTACAAGGCTTCATTCAGTAGACCTGACAGACAACTGGAGACTTAAAATGTTAAAGAATAAATTCCATTTTAATATCTTTGGGGGGAAAAAAAGCCACCAACTTTTGGAACTGAGATAGTAATTAGGCTGAAACAGCATAGATTAGCCCCACTTAATGTGGAATTTAATTACTCGAAAGCAATTAAATTAACATGGAGTCTGCTCAGCTTGGGAAAGGGTTTAAGTATAGGGATTTTTGTCAAAAATGTTAATTCACTCTCTGGGCTATAACTTGTTAATTTAACATAACTTTCTTTTTGCAGTTTGTCATCAATTCAAAGGCAACTAGCTCTTCTTGGTAGGAAAAAAAGGTGAAAACTGGCTGGATTGAATTTTGGTTCCTAGTTAGCAACAACCAGGCAAATAAGACAACTTTCCCTGCTTTATTGCATTTGAGATTTCAATCATTTGCTTTGGAAGCTTGTTTATTTCCTCTTAATTACCTAGGAATTGCCAATAACTGCAGCACAGCTACCAGGGAAGCAGCTTGTCTGGGATTAAGGAAGACATGGAGTCATTTTCCTCTGATTTGAGTCAAGATCGACAAGACGCACAGGGCACCCACCTGTTGTGGGAAGGGGAGAGCTCTTTGTGGTGTCCTGATAAATCTTTCACCATGGTTAAAGGAGGAAAGGCCACTGCTGGTGGAGCTACACAGGTGTCAGGAAGGCACTGGGAAAGGGGAAATCCACTTTGTGTGGAGCTGCTGAATTTTTCATTTGAAGCAAGGATAGGAACGAAGGAATCCAGGATTTAGTGGTCTGGTGCTAGCGTCCTTTGTGCAGTGGAGAAGACGATGTTGTTGGTCACAAAGTGGCCCTAGTTGTAGACAAGGTGAAGGTTTGGGGTCAGGTCTGAGGACTCCTGTGAGAAAGAGCCAGTCCAATGCTGCCTGTTTGCCCTGGCTTTGGCTTTTTGGTGCTGATTGCACATGCTGCTTGGAGAAAGGTTCTCCCAGAGCAGCTGCACAGGAGTCCTTCAGTGCCTTGAGCTCCTCCTGCAAGTGCAAGCCCAGCCTTGGCAGTGGCTGCTGCTGCAGCTGGTGTGGGGCTGGTGGAGCATGGGGTGCTCCCTCTCATGTACCAGTGAGCAGGGGAGGCTGATGGGCCATGCTGGGATGTATGATTTCTGATTTTTCAAGCTGATTTCTTGTCCACTGCCTGACTTTCAGGAAATAAATTTGGTGCTCAAAATGGCTTGCTTTGGGTACTAGGAGGGATTAAGTGCCATCCTTTCCTCCCTCAAGAAACCCAAACCCACAGTGCTGCTTTAGTTGCTTTTTGCTGTTTGACTGTGAAGTAGAGGACATTGTATTTTTAGTGGCAGCTTTAGTTTCAAAGCATGTTGTCAGGGTCTTGAAAATCTTTTGAACTTGTGACTTCTGTTTTCTGCTGGCACAGTAGGTTTAAATGTGGCAGTAAAGAGTAGTAACATTTTAAGTTGGAAATATCTTGGGAATGTGGTTTGGGCATATATTTTTCAAAGGAGTAACACAAGTTCAGATTTGTGTCTCCATTGATAGACCATTTTGAAAGATTGTTCGGTTTATGGATAATATTTCCAAGTTTCTCCTGCTAGGTTTTCACTAAGCAGGTTAATGGTGTGTGTTACTCAGACAGATTGCAGTGAAAGTGCAAAGAGATCCAAAGAGATCTCATCATCCTTAACTTACTGTGAAAACGTTTGCATGCTGGTGGCTACTTGAGTGAAGTTGAGATTTAAAGGAAAGAAGGACTGAGCCCAGCTGGCTGTGCCTTTCTTCAGAAGGTGACTGCACTTTTTTGTCCACAAACCATGAACAGAGGAGTGGTGGCTGTAATTTTCCTCCTTAGCCTCTTACATGTCCAGTTAGGAAAGGCAAAAGCTATTCTAAAAGTCCAATTTTCTGGCCTGGATTTGAACAATGGGCTGATAGTCCTGACCTCTTTCTTGTTCTCCCTTTTCCTTGGAGGGGAGGAACTAGAACCTTTGGGATGCATCATGGTTTAATGCCCGTTGACTGCAAAAACCTGCTGTGTTGGTGGTTTTGTAGCTCTGCAGTGAGCTGTGCTCAGAGGACACTGTGGCTGAAGGCTTAACCTGGCACACCCTTTTGCAGAGTATTTAGGGCATAACAGGCAGGCCAAGGCCACCTTTGGAGGCA